TATCTATATTAATCTACGGTTATTTGTCGGATAACCAACAGAAGTTGAGAAAGGAATAAAACGTTTTTAAACATAAAAGCTTTTTTGGTTATTTAAAGTCTATCGTGTTTAGACCCGAAATGCGTGGTTCACTTAAAGGTCTGTCGCTAATTTCAAGCATGACCAAAATTATGTACGTTTTATAATTACCCAGGAGTACCGCTGGATGCGCGAGATAGTTTCAACATTCGGTAATGCACCTAGCAAGATAAGCTGGGTGGAGGCCTTCTAGTTTTAGTTAACTTTTCATTTACGCGTGTTCAGTTTGACGGCATAACCAGTCACCTTGATATCTCTCTTCAAATTTAGGCAATTCATTTGTTTGAGCAACGAGCGGCCCATCCTTTTTATTTCTTGATCTATTATTGTGTTATTGGATTATACAATAAATTTTATTTGATATACTAGCAAACGAAGGCAAACTGAAACGAAGTTCATATTCGTCCGCAGGCTGAGTATGAGACGTGTCAGGCAAAAACTTCACTTTTATTGATCTTAGTTGCAATTCCTTTATATATTAGTCGTATATTAGGTGCGCCCTTTGTCGCAAGAAAAATTGTAGTGAAAGATATTTGCAGAAATAAAAACTATTCTGCCAGTAACATTACAGTCATTAACAGATAGTATTGTAAGATATGGTTATGTATTATTTCAATTAAATCAACTTTGTTATTATAACCAATGCGGTGTATAAATTTTTTTCATGCACATATCGCACCGTCTTGTGTTGAAAGCTGTTATAACAAAAGAAACAGTGATTCATCACTAAATTCAAACCTTTTACTCATACGAAATGCTGTCTATTTTATATAACCTCTAAAAGACAGCTTAAATCGAATTTGGTAAAACCTTCTAAAGAAAAAATCTAGCTTCGTAATAACCGAGCTGATTTTTCGTTATACACCACGTGTGAAGCAGGAAATTAAAATCCACTGTAAAAGACAATATGCTCACAAGAACACTACAACTGCAAGATTTTGAAGATTATTTTGAGTGCAGAGTTATATACGGATTGATATTTATGAAAATGAACTGTAACATCTATAGATCGAAATCTGCTGCGATATTCGTCTAAGTTATATTGCCATTGCGCAATTACACGTACATCAAACTGTAAGCCACAGTTCATGAACCTTTCACGCTTCTAATAGTTTTCTCAATCGTGTCCCATTGATCCTTCTCCACCTACAGTTCGAATAAAAAAAATCAATCGTTAGCTCGAAACCAACGTGATAGAGTAGATGTTTAAGCTTTTTAAGTATTTACTATCTTTAACAACATTTTATATTAAGATTTTTTTTCGATAATACATAACATGTTTATGGCTTGCCCAATTTTGTAACGAGTTACCTTAATGAGCTGATTAAATTCGGCTGCCAGAAAGTTGAGCAGTGCTCCATCGATGCGAATGACCTCCCCGTTGAGCCATGATGCATAATCTGAGACAACATACGTAGCAAGGTTTGCTAGTTCTTCAGGTTCACCAGTACGCCAGTTCGGAGGTCCAAACTTCTGCGATTTTTCTTCGAACACATTACCTGGATTCAATCGGGAAAACGCGCCTTTCGTCGGAATAGCTCCTATATGAAAAATAGAAGACATTTAATTTATTATTTGTTCATAAAGAGGCAGCAGGCTTTGTATGTTGTTTTCTAGACATACGTTGGCATCGAGGAATCAATGACAACGAGCCATCCGAAAGCTGGACCTGTACTTATGAATAATTCGACAGACTTAATCTCCATTCAGTAGATCCTTCAATAGAAGTCATATAAGAAACACTGAGTGCTGAATAAAATATCGGTTGTCAAACATGAATTATGAATATAACCTAAATATCATTTGAAAAAACTATTTGCAGTCAAATAAAGACTAAAACTACAATCCCTCTAACTTACAGTCAGCCCATTTACTACGCCAATATGGCTTCAAAGCTGAATTTCATGATTGGCCAAATCTTGTCTCTTACCAGGCGCAAGTACATTGAAACGCATTCCGTATTGTGACCATTCTGAAGCAAGGCTCTGATACAATGTTTCAACGCCACTCTTAGCAGCTGCCGAGGGTGCTACGAATCCAGATCCATGGTTAACGTATGTTGCCGAAATGGCTAAAAACGATGCAGGTTGTTTCGCGGCAATCAATCGCTTCCCAACCTGAATCGTATATAGGGAAATCGGATGGAATTGATGTACGAGAAAAACATATCTCCTCTTTGTTATTGCTGCCTCACATGTAGAGCTCTCTTTCAGCAAAAAATCTTTACGTTTTTGTATAGGGATATGTAAAGAAAATATAGCCTGGTTTCTATAAATTGCATACATTGCAACAGACATCAAGTTAATACTTAAATGTCCTATTGTACCTCGAGCGTTACGTTTGCTGTGCCCAATAGGACAATGTCAACGATGGTTTTGAAGGCGTTTGGCGAGAGGCGCTCTGTCGGCGAAATGAAGTTACCGGCCGCATTATTGACAACCACGTGGGGAAGGCCGAGTTCTTTCTCACAGACCGAAAGGGCGGTAGCGATCGAAGCTGGATCTCGAACGTCCGCTGCTTGGTAGAATACCTGTAGATATAAAGTAAAAAATAATGGCAAAAGTGGACAAGTGATCTTCTTGTAATCATGATTATAATTGTTGCTTTTATTATCATAAGACCTTCCCGAGGTGGACCTAGGAGGAATCGCGAATGCATGTCTGCTATACAGCAAAACCACTTCGCAATATTTATACATTTCGGATTGAATTAACGCAATGCTTGATAACCCTCTTAAGTAAATGTACTCCTTGTATAAACCTCAATGTTCAGAAGATGACAACTGCTGCTTAGTTGGCGTCTGAATCGTCTTGTAGAGAAAAATTTATAAAGATTGCAAATCTTCGATCAGCTGATTACCGGTGCCACAAAAATCAATGACCCTGTATTACATTTCTTACCTTTCCGCCGGTCTTTTCCTGGAGTTCCTGGGCAGTTATTTTGAGCTTGTCTTTATTGCGACTTATAATAAACGCGCTGGCTCCGCAACGTACGAACATCTCTGTCATTGCCTTGCCAAGGCCTATTTGAAAAGACGACTTTGAATGAATTGCAACTCGAAAAACCTAAACGTTAATAACGTTAATAAATAATAACGGTAATAACGTTAATAAATAATGACCATAATTTTAAGTCAGAGAATTTTCAGTAAATGTGAAGTACTGAATTTGACGCTGACCAGTTGATTTAATTTAAACATAGATACGGACATATTTGAAAGGAGACAAACCAGTTAAGCCTATCGAATTCAGTTTCATAACATACCAGTTCCTCCACCGGTAACCAAAGCGATTTTACCCTTCAGGGCATCCTTAGGCATCATTGGACGCTTAATAGCTTGATAAAAAGTCGCCATAGTCCGCAAAGACTCTGACAGCATGGCTGAAAACGAATGTTTCCTCGCAAAGCTTTAGTTATTTTCGTTACTGAATTTTCACTAAATTTAAGAAATACAATACACCATATAGCTTACATCAATCACCTATTGACATGAAAAATGCGGTCGTGCACTTAACAGAACAATGCTTCTGACACCTAAAAGGAATAACTCGTCTTGTGCGATTTACAAGTTATTTCCTCTTCACTTGAAACCTAATTTGTCGCTTGTTAAACTTGATTGACCCCACGTTAAGAATGAAGTTCGTCAAAGCCTACTAACTGGTTATTTTAGCATTAGCCGACGAAAATCTATAGAAGCGTGTCTTGAACCACTTCAAAATCGTATGTTGCCCTTTGTCCTATGTGGTAGCTGCTATCGATACAAGATTAGCCATGAGTAAAAACTGCTGACCAGGAATGAATGTATTAGTCAAGCATTACAATAATACGTTTTTAGATGCAAATGATAACTTAAGTAATGTTGGACAGAAAATCATTATATGCTATTTGTATACTCCTTTGAACTCAGGCATCGGCAAGTCTTACACTATTCGAGAGCGCAGCCCACGGGCCACGCTTTAAAATAGCATTTATTTTGCTATTAAACACATTTCGTTTTATTTGTAAAGGTATAAGGCTAGCTATACTTATAATGAAGTTCACATAAAATAGCGCCCACATAATAGTTCTTTCCACAATATAGTCTAAACACACGTTGAGAGCATTTATTTATGCAACATGATCTCCGCAAAAATGTACGTCATTTGTACGCTCGATGATACATCGGCGCAGGCGATGCTGGCGGCTGCGTTATTCTTTGCAAACGGGGATCGGATGTTTTTCTCAAACATAGAAAAATCCGTGGCGCGGTAGATACACTTAAAGTGTGAGTTCAAAGATTGAACACATTATTATATATAGTACAATATACAATACAATAGTACATATTCACACATTTTAGGTAATTCAGTCAAATATGAACTAGAAATAAGATCTTTCACCGACATACATAACGGATGTATCACCCAGTGATGTCCTGAAAATGCAACATCAGAGCTCCTAACAAAATGTAGACAACTGTATTGGTATTCTCTTTTAGATTTGAGCCCAGCGATGTTCGAAGTTCAGTTACTTATCCTAACAATTACTGGCAGACGAATAACAGTACCAGTAATACACCTTTGAGATACCCGCTAGCGAATTATAATGTAGCAGTAACGTCCAACTGTCTAATAGACTGAAGTTTCCTGTTATCATAAACAAAAAGAAATCACACGATGAAACTTGGTATTATCAAGAAGAAAAAAGTTTGAAAGCGCACTTTTCACAGTCAGATAATTCAGCTTCATTATGTGAGCTTGACACATATCCTCTTGCACAGCCTAAACTGCATATTTTAGCAGAAATCAGATTTGACATATTTTTTTAACGAACAACTTTTACGTTTATTATTGACACACATAACCATATGCATACCACAAATATACACGATATATTTACAAGTTTTAATTGCTTGGTATTTTTTTCATATTCACGCATATAAATATTTAAATATTAACGGCGTACTTTCATATCTGCAAAAAGAAACAATAATATAGGCATTTTTTCAATAAATATATTTTACGCGACACCGTAAATTACAACCACTACATTAGCACAATTTTCGAACCCCATAAAACGTGTAAATATTACGTGCGAGCTGTAATACGATTTTTCTTGAATTCTCGGACTTCTCTACTTCACGAAAATATTCACATCACACTGCTATGTAAATAAAATGTTACAATACTGAATAGTAATTCAGCTTTGTTTGTAGTTCTAGCATCGTCAGCATATTAAGCTGTTCTTTGACCAGTTAGTATTGTCCTCATGTATATTCACAGCCTAACACAGCTTCACTTCGAAGATCGACTGTCTATATTATTTATGTACATATCGCTCGCTATTAACGCAGAGCGTATGTGCATTGCTTGTCATTCGATGCAGTACAAATGAGTCGGCACAGGTTACCAGAGCGCATCTAAGTGCTACGGCAAATTCGAGTGGAACCTGAAGAAACGCGTGACGTTTTTCAAGCCGGATCACATCGACCGCCAGCGTGATCCTTCCTATCTCTCCGAACAGTATTTCAACCGCATTTCCCACACTCTTTAGTACGGCACTTTCGTTTTCCCACGGATCGCACCCTTCTAAACGCTCGATATGAACGTAAACATAGTTCAAAGTCCTAATCTGATGTTCAGTCCGTTCGCGCGCAGCAACTGGAACCGGTTCCTCAATATGAACGAAATTCTCGGCTGGCTCACCGCTGTCACTTCGACAGGCCTTCATTGAGATATTTGGTGCCATTTTTCTTTTTTGAAACAAAAACAAATTGTTTCTCGTATATCTTAACTGGAACAGTAATTTTTTGAGAATGAATGACCAAACAAGTTAATGGCAATATCTAAAGAACGTCCGGAGTTATCCAATAAGACATAGATACCTGCAGCTTCTGTACCTTTGAAAACGTAACCTGTGCAGATTGTTAATCATGTAAAAATATCGTGGCAAACCTTCTAAGATGACGCAGATTGCTTTCGCCTCAGTAGATGTTGAATAATTATTGGTAAGCAGATGTTTCCCAGTTGTTATACTTGCTAGCTGCTTGGATCTGCTCTGATCACTCTTGCAAAGTAGGATGCATATTTAATAAGATTTTATCGAAAGTTTTTTTTCGATGCACTGCACATACCTTTTAAAAAAATCAAAATAGCACCGAAACATCAAGACATGCTTGGCCAGTTGCTCTGCTTCTGCAATTGCTCGTCTGCTTCTGTCTATAAACAACATTTTTCAAAGCTTGACAAATACCAAAAATTATCATATATATAATAAAAGGAACTGCCTTTCCGAAACCCACAGAACGCGCGTATTGAAGTTGCTAATTATGTTTTTTTTTATACTAACGTGGTGACTTGCCGTTTAGAAAGGCGATCCATCTGTGGTTTAACTAGGTTTGTCTTGGGGCACAACTGAAGGTCACACTCACTCTCCACTTTACCCACTTAGGATTTGACCAAGGCGCATATTTGGCGTCACTTGTGCAGTTCGGCTCCTTTGTAATTCCTTCGGGCTTTATCTGGGCATTGTTCTGGGCTAGCGCTAACAGTGGGCGAAGGCAGAATGTGCTCATTTTCAAAACACTTCGACTGTATAGAGCCCGGAAGATAGTGCCTCCACCTGGTGGTAGACAATACAGATAGTGCCAACATTGCTCTACTGTTGACGAGTCGACGATTTCTTTACTTCGTATTTTAATAAACAAAATGTTTATTGGATAACGTTAATCTGATTATGATAAAATTTTAGCTTTTCAGGATTCGTACAGTGTTTAATTTGCGTTTTTGATGCCAGATATTTATTTATTTTGTAAATGAAACTCATTAGCAGGAAAAATAGGAAAGTCGGGATATACATCACTAGCTTAGAAGTTCCATATTCACATACACCCTAAAAAGACAGAAAAATAACAATCTCACTTGACGTCTACATCGGATACGAATAGTAATATAATCGACATGCAATACAATGTGAATTACCAATATTTTGTTAAAAAGGCAGGATATAGGTAAGATATGAAATAATACAATAATAAAACACAAAGTTATCTTAGGAGAACCGTATCTGATCTGGCTGCAAACGATAAGTTGATAGTTTGATCCCGCCACTTGCATATAGCACACGATATATGTGATCAGCTTAAAAAGCTCAATAATCGAAGGACATTGCGATATTCATGCCGCACAAATCATAGAAAATTTATTTCTAAGCATAAGCGAAGTTATATTATAACATGTTCAAGTTTAAAATGTTTAAAGTAACTTTCTTTATGAATCTGGATCAAAGCCTACTAGTCAATTCTGGATAACTGAATTTAGAGTATCAAATATGCGGTAAGCAGCTTAAATGCTGCTCCTAGCTCTGTGATGACTACACCTTTTTTTTTACATAAATAGCCTAGATATAAAATGTGATTAATAAAACTCATACTGTCGGTTACGTTAATAACATACTAAATAGGACCATAACAATAATAGTTCAGCTTCCTTTCTTTGCTGATAAATCGACGCTACAATATTATGTGCCTTCTGTTTACTACGTTTTTACTACAACAGTGATTCTTTTTAGGTTTGATTATATAATTTAGCGGAATAACGGCAGTACAAAATGTTTCTTCTCTTCGGAACCATCGATCATGACTCAGCTTATTATTCATCCACATCAATATACTTGTTGTATATAGACTTTCGGCTTGGTCCTGTTCGGTAATGCTGAAAATAACCATAACCTTAAATATTTGCGACCTCAGGATTTTTTACTTTCTATGTCTTGCTGTCAACTTTTTTTTTCGGTTAGAATGGCGGCGTATGAATAGATAGCACAACGAAGTAAGAATAGCGTCGTTATGCTATGTCAATTGCAAATAAATGATCTTTCAAGCAAAATTATATCTTAAAATTTTTCGTTCAACAGTAAATAAATGGTAAGCAGTTTTCTATGTATCTACTAATATTTTCACTACGTATGTAACAAAGATATATGTAATTTATAGCTATCGAAAATTGGTGGTTTCTTTTTCGTCCATGATGTTTATTGTTATGCATCCGTAATACACACCTCAGCGTAGGATAGGCTGGTGTATTTAAATCATAAACTTGCTCCTCGCTTTCCGTCAGCCTAGCTTCAGAAACGTTTAAAAAAATCCTAGTATACGCGTTGCACGATGTTGAGCAAATTATTGTACGATAACAATGGTTCCATCATCAGAATAACTGCTACGTCTTGTATTGACTCGGATTGCGTATGACGAGCGTATGGGCACTCACTAACCGGTCAAAATTAATGGGAATTATAGTGGCATCTACCCGACCTAATTACACGTGTATTTATGAAGAATACGTACACTGTTAGCTAAATTGGTCCTTCTGCGCAATTGGCAGTGACGTTACTCATCAATTACGGGACACAAAACTGATAGCTGGTGATTGAGTAAACACTGAAAATGATTAAATTGTTACCATAATACTATTGGGCCAGAGAAAATATTACGACGACAAAGTGGCCAAAAATTTTATGTTTTTTCAGTTACTAACAAAAACTGGCTCAGCAGGAAGCTTATAGGGAGTGAATTATTCAACATTTTATTCTGACAAACTGCGCTTGATTCCGTGTCGAGTGCTCAGTATTATTCTAGAAACGTCCAAATTCATCCTTTATGTAACAATGTTAAGTATTATGACGTCATTTAATTTTCTATATATTATAATAGGTTTTTCAGTTGTTTACCATTTTGCTTATTGAGTATGGCACTAGTTCGCTTATCACGTTGAGCAAATAACATCCTGTTTTTAGTCTTTACGACGAGCTGACTGTTTGATTTGTCATATATATTCTTTGCTGGCTTCATCACCACAGGCTGTATCGCTCCCCAAATCTATCATGCTAGCTCAGTTTAGAGTATATATATTATATAATAATGGACTTCGTAATGGAATAACATTTTAGTACCGCAGCGTATCATAAATACATCTTAGAGCAACAGGAGTCTTAGGTCTTCACTAAAAAGTTCCCTCCTCACTTACTGAATTCGTTGATCGATACACAAACGAAATTCTGACAGGTCAACCAACAGTCTTCTGATGACCTTTGCAACAGCAAACACCAAAAACCACTCAGTTATTATATCCTTTTCATATACATAAATAGCTATACATATGTGCAGTAAATTTAGTTGTTTTCTCTCGAATTCACTTTTAATCACTGTCCGAATCAAGACCCCCAAGTTCAGCTTCATCTTGGCCCATGGCCCTCCAAAACTGCGAGACAACTTCTTCAGCGAACTTTTTTCGTTCATCTCCAGTTAGCGACATTGCCTGACCCTTGAGAGATGCAAACTTTGCGTAAAGTTCCTCAAAAGCCATTCCTGCCAGTTCCGGGTCGAGCTGAGCCTCATCAGCACTCCCCCTCACAGAAACATTTTGTGAGCTATCTCGCTGCTGCTCTTGTGCTGGCTGCTCCTTTTGTTGTTGCGTTGGATATGTCGGCGGCAAGACACTGACCTCATCCCGATTTTCGTCTTCAGGCTTAGATGATCCACTAGCGGCCTCCTGTGGTAATGGAGGAAGTGGAACTATGCCTCCTATGAACAGATGTTCTGGCAGTCGGGGGTTTCCGGGGAGCTTTTCACGATCGTGCATTACCATGTTCGACCACGTATGCATCCGAAGGGCCTCCTACAAATTTGAAGAGAAATGAAAAACACCAGCATTAGTGTTTCATTAAAATCACATGCCTACGATTTTATTGTTGCAATTTATTATTATGGCAACTTATTTATATTTGAAATATGGTAAATTATTTCATTTAAAAGACAACGTCCCTTGCTTTACATAACGTAATTAAACTTTCTAGTTGTTGTATACCTTCATTCTTTCGAGTCCACATTCGTCTTGGTCGTCGACGTTAACTCCACTTTCAATTAGCTCGAAGTCGCTGAGTCGTTCTAAGAACATCTTCCTAATCTGCTCATTGTCGCACAGTTCGCACAGCGCTAGGTTGACTTCGGAATTACAGCATCGTACACGTAGTTGTTGCAGCTGCTCGGCCTGTTTGTAAGGCCAGTTTGAATGCATTACATTTTTTTACTAAAAATTATATAATACATATTTTACGTGCCTTCGCAATAGGTGCAGCTTTATAATAAGTACATGTTTTCAAAAATAAAATATTCCGTCTTTGGAACTCTCATTGGCTGTATTAAAATTTAAGAGCTCAGTAGCTGCGTTTTTAGATAAAGTCAGTGAGATTTAGGATCACACTCAACCAGGCTGTACGATATTGATGGAAAAGAGAAATAATATAGTTTCAGCTAATTATAAAGGACTTACAACTGAAGCCTAGCGAACATGCTTTCTAAGATCAATAGTTTCTTATATCTGAATTACATATATATGTTTATGTATATATATATAATAACGTAATCGCTGTATAGCGTCGCTGTAAACGAACCTTTTCCTTGAAGTTATCGCAGTTAGCGTCAAAGAGGACTACAAGAGCTTCGAACTGAGCTAGTTCAGCATCGCTAAGTTCGCTTGGATCCGCGCAGGCATACAGCTGGATGTCGGCTGTGAAATATTTCGTGCGAACACGATACGGGAAGGCCTCAAGGAAAGGGTGATCCTGACGAAGAGTGGGTCCTCGAGTAACGTCGAGGAGGGCAGCCACTGATGAGGCAGGCTTCTCACATATCGACATCATTAAAACTCCAGTGAATTCTTGCCTCATCCTATGGAATCCAGCCGATATAGACGTGCAATATATATAAGAAAGAAAAAGTTCAAAATACATTATATAAGTGAGTGGTCTAGTTGATTATCAAGTCATTTCGCATTATAAGCATTTTAGGCATGTTAGAATTTCGTTCGTAAACATTAATAACAAAATGCTTATACGTGAGAAGCGCTTTTATTAATCTACGTCGTGCTTTGACATTCAAGAACATTATTTTCATCTTTATACTAGAAAATATTACGAAATATTAAAAATTAAATCCTATAAATCATAAAAAATAATAAATAAAAATAATCCTAAAGGTCATAATCCTATACACCATAAAAAATTGAAAGCTATCAATTTTTATCGCCAAAAACGAAATTATCTATATGCAACGACAATCGTTATTACATAAGTCTAAACTGTAAAATTTATGCCTAATTGTCATCGATCAACGAAATCAATGACCTTTTGTCCACATAGTGAGTAATCCGTAGCAAGGCCTTCCATATATTGCACAACGGCGTAATTTACGAATAAAGCCAAGTTACCAACAAATAGTGAATCATAATAAACGTTTTTTACACGATGTTCTCTTTGTATATATTTTAGTTATTGTAGATATATCCTAGACTTTACCAGCAACAATGAAAGGATACCAAAGAAAGACAATGTATAAGAATTATTGCAATACTCGCTAGAACTTTAACTTATTTTAAATTATCTGTCGCTCCAATAATCTCAGTTTTTTTTTTTTTTACCCAGACTCATCCTCTACCAATCACAATAACTATCGACAAAAACTGCAGGTACTTTTGTAAAATTAGAGATCACATTATGTCAGTACTAATATCTGAGTGGTTATAAAGAAAAGAAGCCCTATATAAAAGCTAACACCCCTCACAGATCTTAGATTTTTAGTAAAAAAACGAGCGCGGTAGGAGGTCTTCTGAAGTTGTAAATCCTACGAGTTACATTTGCTTCAATAGCAATAATCTGTCCACAACCCGTTTTCTGTTCATTGTAAGAATATTTCCTTGAATCCAAAGGTACACGCGATACAGCGTCCACATTTCATTTCACATGCTGGTAAAGGTGATTGGTAATTAGATTCATTGCATTAATTGGTATATCTTGATTCATTGCAATGTTGTCCTGTCTTTATTATTCTTCATGAAATAGACTGCAGTTATACAAAGCGAGGTTGCTTGTGATTATCAACGATATGTTCTTCTACGATAAAGGCTATACTCACGTAATTCTTCTTCCGCTATACGAGCAAGAAGCCGATAAATGAGCTCTACTCAGCAGTAAATATGACTGGACTCAAGTTCACTGGCAGGAGAGACTATTGCCTGCTTCCACATATAAGGGGACACTCTAAAAATATAACCAGTTGTTACAGATCAAGGCTCAAGTTTTGTAGGCCACTTGTTTTAGATTCCTACTGCTTAGTTCATCAACATTATTATCTATGCTTCATTTATTATATTACTTTTACACCGGGCCCACACATCGTTAATAACGAAGCGTCTTGGCGATGTGTTGTTATGATAATAAAAGCTGATTTTGCCCTGAAGCGACACTGCCGTACTGACAGGCATGCGCCTCCATTTGACCACGCAGCTGTCGCTAACCCCATCATTACCACAACGCGGACAATCGCCCGACCCGCGTAAACGCCGACCCAGCGCTCATGCCCGGCTGGTGAATTACAGTAATTGCACTCCATCGGTATTATTCTACTTTCTTATATTTGCACTTTTTCTTTTGACGATATTAATAAAAATCATGAAATGGCATCTTTTTTTCAGTCACAAGAAAGCAACATCGCATTTTTTTAAATTCTTGGTCGAGTAAAGATGAGTTGTTTCTATTATGATGATTCAATACTTACGCATACCGAAATGATGGTAGCAAATGGAATTTTTGATTTTGCACTCTCAAATTTAAACATGCTAGGCAGTTTCATAATGTCCGAAAGAATCTCTAGTTTTTTAGACTTCATTTTGATTAAAGTGAAAGTCGCATATTTCATGAAGTGCAATATTTGCAATGGGGTCTATCATGAAAAAATCTACATAACCACAAATGAATAGTTTGATGATTATGAATTATTATATTATATTAATTATTATATCAATAGAATGATTGTTCAAAACATCTCAATCAACTATTTTAATTGTGATACCAACTAGATACAAAGAGGAGTATTCGTATTGGTAGCATAGGAAACGCATGTCTTTGCTGTCTGAAATTCGAAATGTTAGATAACTATTTTAAACGCTTTCAAAACTAACTAAGTTAAAGAGAAATCCTTTAGAGCCCAAACCATTCTGACTTGATAAAAACATTTAAATAATAAAAAAAAATGTACAAGCTGGTAGTCCGCCAGTACGAAAGTATATATTCCGATATTTCACTATATTGATGGGACGATTGTTCTTTATAATTTGGCGCCGTTTATTCAAAGCAGAATCATGCCTACTTGACTATGAAATTGGGCGCGAATCCGCCAGAGATTGAAGTGTGTGGCGCAAAAATCAGTTGTTCACTGATCTAGATCCTACGTGTGTGCCAAAAGTTCAGTTTGAAGAGGTGACGTGCTCTGGGCAATATTATTAGTGGTCATGGGTAAATTACAGTTCGAGAGTTCTTCGCCACAAGCAGATCTTCAGTCCTACTTTACTCGTAGACTCTCGCCGCTATGTGAGGATTCATCTGTAATAGAACAACTCTATTCTGAACAGCTGAAAAGTCTCGAAGATATTATCTCGCGGTGTGTACTAAATTTTGAAAGTAATTCTGTCTTGGTGATGGGCCCTCGAGGATCTGGAAAAAGCATTCTTATGAAAACTGCCCTGGAACGGCTCAGCAAGAAAAATAATGCCAAAGGCAAGTGCATAAAATCATACGCCCATTTATACCACCCTCTGTGTTATAAAGAACTCCTGTTTAGTTCCAATTTCATTCACTTAGGCCTAGATGAAACATGACTTAGATAAAAAGAAAGTAACCTCCGTTTCTGCTACCATAATGCTGCATACTATTCGTCTGACCAATGCCATAGATTTACAGCGATATTCATGACCCTTTTCGTTTAGAAAAATATTGAAATAAAAATTATTAAGTTACATCAAATTGCAGGTATCGAGTACATCAATATCCGAATTTTAGAGATCGACCCTTCATTACCGCGAAAGACCAAAAACGCCAGATTGGGCTTAGTTGGTGTAACTGTCTAGATATGACGAGATGTTTTTAAGCTTTGCGCTTCAAACCACTCTTTTTCATTCATCGTTAATTGACAATTACTAATTAACATTTTAATTAAATTATAATTTAAATTTAAAAAATATAAAAAATTAAAATCAATACGTATTTCTCAAGAAATCGGTTTTAACTAAGTAAACGGTTTAAACTAAGTTTAACTAAAATGTTCGCATTTTTAAGCATTGACCGTAATATAAACTAGAGTAGCAAGAAAATGCTGTCAAAAATTCAAATGTCCAGGGTGATTATCGATTTTGAGAGAGAACTGAGGTCTAAGAATGGAGGTTTTTAAAGTACAGGCAACTATTCGGTGGTGAAACTCTTTGGTAGCGGTCACACCGACGACCGGATCGCCCTAAAGGATATTACGCTTCAACTGCAACTGGAAAACGTCGTTGGAGATCGAGTGTTTGGGTCGTTTGCGGAAAACCTTCAGTTCCTTCTCGACTCGCTTAAAAGTGGCGCTGATCGATCCAAAGCCAAATCGTCAATATTCATTCTTGACGATTTCGAGCTCTTTACCCAGCACAGAAATCAGACGCTTCTCTATAACCTGTTCGACGTGGCTCAAAGCCGGCAGGCACCAATAGCTGTGATTGGGTTATGCTGCCGTTTAGATGTAGTTGAACTTCTAGAGAAACGAGTTAAGTCCCGCTTCGCACATCGTTTTCTATATCTAATGAACTCTATCAAGGAAGAAGAGTATATATCGGTGGCTGAAACGTTACTCACAATTGATCCCACTATATATCCGGGGGGAGTTGAAAGTAAGAAATTTGCTAGTAAATGGAATCAAGATTTGAAGCGTGATGTGATGCCCAAGCTGAGAGATAGCCTGATAAAGCTTTACCACATCGATCGGATCCTTCGTACGCTTGTCAACTGTCTACAACCGATGGTTCGGCAAATCGATGACACCTTGCAAGTTCAACCAACTGTATTTCGTGACACGGTTAACCGAATATACGAAGATGATCCAAAACTTGTCGTCATCTCGCGTATGCCCGCCCTCCATATTATCCTTCTTGTCTGCATGCTCCGGCTAAATGTCATCTACGATGGAGAACCTTTTAACTTTGAGCTTTTGTACAAAGAGTTCAAACGCTTTAATCGAGAGACCCGATCATTACTGAATCTACCGAAAGACACGGTCTTGAAGGCGTTTGAAAGCATATGTGAGCTTGAGTTCGTCCAGCCAGTGGGCGGAATTGCAATGGCGTCCCAGAAACGTTATCATCTCCATCATTTGCACTTTAACGCCGATTTAGTACGTAAGGCAGTTGAGTCTCATAGTGGGCTGCCAACTGATGTCTCCCAGTGGGTTACAACAACGCTTTCCGACAGGTCCCTCGGAATTTAAATGGGTTATAGAATTCGCGGAACTAATCTGAGTGAAACATGAATATGGCGATAGTAATTTAGGAAAGAATAAGGTACCATTGTATTTCGATAGGTAGGAATTCTTTCGTAGGGGCTCAAAATGCTTAGAAGAATCGTTCGAATTCCTGTACGTTTCTATCCATAAATGAAAAGAAAACGACAATGAAAGCGATTCTTATTTAAAGGTCCTTCAAGAGAAGGTGGTGGCAGTAACTGATTAAATGCATACCGCGTCGGTTCATACCACTAGCATGAAGTTTAATATTGTTGAACCAAGTGGCTCAGCTATTTCTATGACATTCGATACAGCCGATAACAAAATCGCACCTTTATAAATAGTCCTGAGTCGTCCCATTGTGTATACACTATATAACATAATCATTTCTTCCTGTCAATTTCTTGTCAATGACGAAAAAACGGACTTCTTACATCGTTGTTACAAACGTTTGTTAATGCAGTACCTTTTGATCTGAATCAAATTTCTTGAAGCTCAACTGAACACTAAAACTGCTTACGTGTTGCTTTCACGACCAGACGTTGTCTGTTTTATCTATTTTTCTTCAGTATTACAGACATACTGTGCAAACGGGACTCCTATCGGTGAAACAAACAAGCTGTAGTTGCACCTTTAGGCATACTGTTGCGCAATATACATTAGTAGTACAGGTCCAAAACGGAGCAATAAGGTCCGCACATTTCCGTACATAAGTAGAATAGGATTGTGTAAAGAGATACTTTGAAAGGCACTGTTGAATACAATATTCGGTATCTTATGGAACAACTGGTCTTCTTCCTCATTTTTTGTTTACTCAACTTCCTCACGGAAATGGGAAAATTGCCTGAGATATCATATCTACTAGTTGAGCAAACGTTATAAGCGCTAAAATGTGTTATGATTCTTTGTTGACTATGAGCACCGAAAATTAGTTAATCGCGGGGTATTTATTATTAAATATTTAATAGCAGTTCACGCAATTTTCATGTATTAATAATGAACTGAATACTTCGTAAAAAAATCTTAATTCATATAAATACACTGTGAATTTTTATAAACTATATATTGTATTACGGAAATAAACTGCAACTATATGAGCACACTTTTGTATGTAATATATTGGTTGGGAAGCGTGCTCTGTACGCTCATTAGGGATGTGTCGTTATATCAACATACTCATTCACTAAGACTTTTCTACGGTGCGGCATCTCTCCCTTAGTCTCCTGATACAATCTTAATTTTCACCACTACTTTGTGCGGTTTTTCATTTTCAACCGGATATAATTCCCTTAAAATGACTACACAATACAAGCAAAGGTCACCGTAACATCTTCACACAAAGTGAATTCTAAATGCTTGCCTCATGCTCTTGTCCTGTTACTTCTCAGATTGATAAATATAATAAAAGTTCATAGTCCAGTACAGGTTTCTTTATTTTATAATAAATCATTCCAGGGGCTTATCTTATCACTTTCGGTCGGACCTTTATAGATCAACAACATTTAATCAAAGCCAAAGGCTACCTTCTTTAATTCTACCTTCTTTAGCCGGGACTCTCCTCAAAGTGCATTGTGTCTTAATAACTGAAAAATTAAAAAATAAATGAATATGGATATGAATGAATATGGTATTACGGAACTCGAAGGTCGACCTGCGGAAACACTAATAACAACTTCATTCGAAATTAAACAACCTCGACATTTGGCAGAACACAAGATTATCAATTGCGTCATTACTACGTCATTACGAATTACGTCAACAGACAACTACGTATACGTTTTGCAAGCTATGTAAGTTTGCAGTAAGGTGATGTTGTTAAATGCCTTCATTTAACTGCTTGGAAAACCTTTGATTTCAAGGATAAAACAAGACAACAGGTGTGCCTATATGACGGTAAGGTTCCGCGACGCTTTCTTCTGCTCTTTACACGTAAGTGTAAAGGGTGCACCTGCTGGTCGAATGCGGACACTAGCGAATTCTGTGATGTCCTCGTACAAAAAGGTATTGGAACCTTCAACGCTTAAGACGACTCTGAGACAAAAAATGATCTAGGTTATATGTTGACTAAATTAAGGAAAATATTATGGATATAACTACTCTGAGAGTTCTGACTTGACATATACTTGTTTAGGTGTGAACGGTCAGTGTGATAGCTTTTTGTTGTTGTTAATTTATCGAAATGACGGTGAGAATAATAACAGGATAGCTTGGTGCACGAATTGCTGCATTGTGAGGATATCGTGCTGCATAAGACCTCGCTAAATAGGCTCTAAAGCCGCCTACTTACGCTTGCTATTTAATTAATAGGACACGTAAGGTTCGGGGTCAGTTTCAGTTAATTTCCCATTTAAAATGCGACATCATGTTCTGGTGCTTTCCGCGGCCTTTTGTTTCGCTTCCCACTCATTACGAAGAGTTCATCAAACCATCTATCTAAGTTTTACGTATGCATCAAATGGTACGTATCCGAAGATCGGATTTACTATTAAACCAGAACTACTATATTATAAAATTATTAGTATAAGAAGAATTATATTATGTAAAAAAGAGTACCAAAGAAAACATACGAGGAGAGGTAAGCCAACTAACTGAACTGTGACATTTCCAACGCTATTGCCACCTAGACTTACTGAGTATGAAATTAAACGCGTGTGCATATTATAGAATTTAGCAAAACTGCACGCACAAGAAAAGGCGATTAAGTAGACAATGAAGTATAAAGAAATTACACTACAGTAAAATAAAAATATCAGGCAAAATAGTACTCTGCCAAAGGTTGCCGTCCAAGCATAAGCAGTTTATTTGTTCACACAAATTTTCTATGATAACTTTTGCACAAGCCAGTTCTAAAAAAGCCAGTTCCCCAGCTGAAAAGCCCTGGCAGAAAAAAATGTAGTATACTATTGCACAAAGTCCTTGCTTTGTGTCCCATCCGATGCTTTTTACGCAATTCTGTTACGACGAATGGCCGTTTAGAAAAGCGTATATTTATTTTATGCCTCCAAATATTTGTTCTTTATTTTTACGGCGTACCCCTATACGTTACATCTACTACAAAGCTCAATCAATAATAACCTTATTGAAAAATAATACGCTTCTAGAAGTTCCATTACAAAAGAATAAACTGCATTGTTTGCAGGCACGGTGGCCAATGCCGAGTAAGTCAATTATATTATATTGATCAATGGCAGCTTCAGTATGCCTTTAGTGGCTAAACTTATTTTAGCCATGGCTTCATTCACCCACTTATCTGAGCACTAGTTAACTTCCATCATTAATTATTAGGTACTGCAAAAGTTAGGTATGCAAATAGCAAGATGACATAGTTAGGTAACGCATTCTAAATGCTTCAGGAGAAACTCGACTCGCACCGACTTAGCCAAATGTCGACGAAAGTTATCACTCAGAATCAGGCCGCTCTAGTTTGGGTATCGATTAAAAATAGGAATAACCTGTTGATTACATATATATATATGATGATAATATATATATATATATATATTATATATATATATATATATATATAATATATGCGATATATATAATTATATATATAATTATATATCGCACCTAATGATTCTTTTTCCTAGTTCCAAAGTAATCTAAAACTGATTATTTAATAAACACTTCGAGGCCATTTATTAAATAGACTGAAAAGCAGATGGGTTCTGTCGAAAATTGCTGCACTGTACCTGTTCCGCATGCGAGCGCTTTTGATTGCCATTAGGCGAGCCGGGCCTCAAGCATAGTATTATGAACCGCTTTTCCTCTCGACAGGTCGAGAAGTTTATATACTGATGCAGAGCAAAAAAAATGAGGTTCGAGGTAATGAAGGAAAACAATACTCTATAATACGATCCTAGTGAAAGATGTAGTCAAATCTAGGTACACATTTAAATGTTATGTCATTCTAGCAGCATCAAATATTCTGCCCAGTATGAATGTGAAGTTGGTGATGAATCTCAGATACAAGGCGGATTACAAAGAATATTTTACAGCTAAAAGGTATTAATATATTGCCAGCTTTTGGAGGCCGGTTTTTTTTCGTAATTCAGCCGGCTAAAATCAGGTCTCGAAATATTTGTTTGGCACCATAAGTTTATCGAAATAATTGAGCGGAGATGCTTTGGCGATATGCAACACCAAACATTTTTTTCTTGATTCTTTAGAAGTGTGCACAAAACAATAACAATGTCTTCTAAATGAAAGACTTTGATACTCCTTTTTTTTCACTTTCTACTGCTAGTACTAACACCTGCTTACGACTTACGAATTACGAATTGTTGATTCATTCAATACGTATGTACATCTACAGGGTGCATTTCGACTAGGAAACTTACTGGTGTCATATATAAAAAATTTCTAGATAAAAAAATTACTCCTTCTGTTGATATTTTACTTTTTTTTTTATTATATATATTTTATTTAATAGTTATATTTTTTGTCAAGAAAAGTAATCATTTTTGAGAACGATAGCGTCTAACAAAGTTGATTCGTTTCTTATCATACACTTCTCAATATCGACAGTATCTTGCACTGCCAGTCCGTCTGAAACATACCTTAGAACGCACAACGCACAAAATATATGATGAGTGTTCATATATCTTTTTCATCCCTTAAGGATGTAGTTGGCAGCTGCTAACTTCGCTCTGAAACACAAAACCGAAAAATTTCTTGGCTAGATTGACACATTGGAAACATTCACGCAATGTTAATTAGCAACCAAGCTAACTTGGAATTAATTAGCGCAAAAGCAACAAATACAACGTATAAGATCTGCCTTTCTCTTTTCAGTTAATTTGCTAAATTTGTTTCTGAGATAGACCTCGGTAATCTGGTGGGGTAATCGTGTTGATGAGGGGATTCCTTAACGGGGAACACGGCACAGCTTTAACATTCTTAAGCTCCCTGTTTCCCCTGAGGACTCGAAGACACGCATCAACCTCGACTACTTCGTTCACGGACAGGATGACATCGCCTGAAATATTGGCTGTATTCTAGAAAAACAATGGCAACAATTTGCGCAACTCACTTTCATATCAACGCAAAAATTATTATCTCAAATTAATACAGGCGGGTTACTATATTTTCTATGAGTTCCGTCATATTTCATATTCGTATATACTCAGAGTATATATGCGAATATCTGACCGAAAAACAACTTCGAAGATGCTTCAGCTGTTTGTTGTTTGTGCAAATCGAAACGCCCCACGACAATCACCCTACTCGTCGCCATGGTTTTGAGATTCCAATACTTCAGCGCACGACATTCGAAACCGTAAGGCCACTTTGTCATACTACCGAATACCGGGCAAGCTGAAAGCCATACAATGGCATCAGACATCTTAAATCTTGAAATATTTGTACTATGTCGAAGAAAAGCCCACTATTTCAAAAAAATTGATGATACTGAATGAATTATAGTATGTGCCGGTGAACGTTGCTTGAAAATGTCAAGCGTACACAATGTCATTATAGATACGTAGCCTTCATAAGCTGTAAGTCAACACTAATCAAGCAAACCGATTAACTGGTCGCATCCGTACTGCCTATTTATATAACAGCTGACCGATTTTGCCGGCTTGTACAAAGTCGACCGAGATAATGCCATAGCGAGTCTGCAGATCGTCCACCGCAAGTGAGCTAGTTGTTGCAAAGCGGAATGCATTATCGGCTATCACCTCGATAGGTACACAACTCTGAATGGAGAATAGACTTTCGGCGGAGTGGCTATCCCAGAGCGCACTATCGGCTCCGGCGATTCGGGCAATTACGTCGCCCTCATAGAGAGTTGAAATCAAGGCTAAAAGAAGACAATTAAAATTTATAACGTTAGCTACGGAATGAATGAATCCTAAGCACTAGTGGTTGTAGGTAGTAACTAAAAAATAAAAACTAAAAAATCTAGAGATAGCCATGCGAATATTATAGTTTTGTTAGTTGTGAAATTATATGTTCATTTCGATGGCTGGCAAACAACAAAAAACTATGTCAAAAAAATGTCAGTTTCAGGTACCGACAAGTACCAGCAATGATAAGCCATGTAGCAGTTTTATGGTTTATATACATATATATGTGTATGTATCTCATATCGTTCTTTCACTGCAATTAAACTGCGTTCAAATTGAATATTTGTACATGATAGTACGTGGCCTATGGTTGCATTAAGAAGCTGACGATTCGTTGGACTTTTAGGTTCCTTGTCCGAAAATCGTAGCGAAAACCGCCGAAACCGATTCTGCCAGGACGTCAAAATGCCAAGGAACTTACCCGGATGATTAACTTTCCGAACTACTAATTTCTGCTGACCGTCATAACCAGGCATCTGCTCAAAAAGAACAGGTGTGCGTTGGTACGGACAGAATCTTTTCCGATGCATATCACAGACGAATTTCACTGTGTCCGGGTTCGTGCGGGCGAGCTCACAAGTTTGGCCCACTTCCCCAGATAGAGAATCTTCACCGATACTTCTGCGACAAAGCTTCGTGATATGTCGCACCTACGAAAAACGAGTAAACTGACTAAATCAACGATGCGCGGGTTTATTTCCGTCTTGTATCATTAATGACACAAAACCGCCGTTTAGTAAAAACATTTACGCGTAACAAAAAAAATCAGGCCAAAAATGTCCTATCTGCAATAGGTTCGAAGGCCTAATCAAAAGACAGGTTATTGATATCCGTCATTAAAGCATCCCACACGGTTGAGGCTTATTCTGCCTGTGGTAAATCACATGAAAGAAATACCTAACTTGCAGCGACGAAAAAGCGACTAAGCCTTCTAAATTGCGATCGCCTAATTTTGGCAGTAAAATAAAATCAACACATCGAAGTGTATATAAGATTCACATCAACTCCCGCTCGACATTGAACTTGCAATTTCAATGCCCTCACCTACCGAAGGAGGTTCGTCGAGAAAATCACTGGTTCCACCTTTTTTTGAGACGAGATTTTTGATCGTGGCCGAAATGAACGTATAGAGCTTCACGTGTTGGACATTTGGAATATCCTCAAGCTCTTGAAAAGCAGGAGGTTTAAGTCGCCTGCCCTGTTTCATACGTGCTCCGTCCATGACTGGGTTTTCTTCGTACACCTACAGCAAAGTGTCATACAGACTAACGATTCCATTGTACGGAAGGCAAGAGAGCATAATGTAGTACATTCTGTATGTAATAGCCTTACTACAATATATGTATGAAATAACGGCTTTTCATGGTACGTTTACAGAAAACGACCGTGAATCACTCGTATGGGTATTAATAACTGCTTTTTTTTTAATTCATTCCCTTAAATAATATTACTCTTCTGAAGGAAAGGTACCTAGCCATTTTGCGCACTAAATGATGCGGACAAGCATATTTACAGAAATATACTACCTACGTAGTTGAGATAGAGTAATCTATGTTTTAGTCCGTGGCTTAGACAGATGATTCTGTAGCTGTGCTGAGGGGGTCTGCAGAACAACTTGATTAATGCTCAATGATTAAAGTTCTTGTCTTGCAGTAGGAAATAGCTTTACTACTTTTTTATTTACTTTTAAAAGTTTTTTTTTTTTAAACCATTACTAAATAATGTATACGTATTTGTTTAAAGCCGACAGGGTAAAACTTCAACTCGACGTTTTTTCCATATGGTAAATCGGCTTAATACAATGTTGTACTGATTCACATCACGCATCTCAGTAGTATTATAGGGTAACCCACTTACCCGATTACCTCCTGAAGACTCCTGGCCAACAAGTTCCTTTAGAGGAGGACAATCAAAGTTTTTACGCGACAGCTTTTCCCACTCGAGCCCTAAAAATACCTCATGTCCGAATATGTCATCGTATGAGCGCGAACCTAATCGGTGCAATGGAGATTTGTGTAGAATACTCGCTAGAAACTCTTTAATACAACGTGCCTTGGAGTCCTTCATGCCCGGGACTTTTGATGTGTTACTGCTCCAGTTGAGGTTTTGGTTCGTGATCTGATCCACCATCTTTTCTGTCGTACCTCGAAATGGCAGTCGGCCGAGAAATAAACGATAGCCTACGACTCCCAACGACCACCAGTCTATGGCACGACCAAATCGTTGACCAAGATGAAGCTCAGGCGCCATATATGCGGCTGTACCAATCTTCTCTGATACTCGAAACTCCGCATACGTTCGGCGAAAATACGACAAGGAATAAATACGGCTAAAGTGAGCTATGCAGATTTTCGACACATCGAAATCGATAAGCTTCACACGCGCATTATGCAATATCATAATGTTTGAGAGTTTGATGTCCCGATGGATCAGCCCGCAAAAGTGGAAATGCTCGACGGCCATGGCCAGCTGTGCGATAATGTGGATTGCTAACTCGCGCCCACAAAGACGAAACCTCGTCGCGAATCTGATTCGCCCATTTTGCGTATCATACAACGAAACGTTAACCAAAAATCAATGTACAGTTTGCTATTGTGTCCTTCAACACAGTAGTGTTACTAAATACTTCGACGTGAACAGGATAAGAAAACCACGAAGTCCATTGCAATAGCAAAATATTTTTGTATAAAGGCAGTTCTAATTGTCAGAGAAAGGTTTTAATGCATTGCTGGGCCAAAGAAGGCAACGATAGAGCTGCTTGGCTTCTATCGAGTAATTGTTAGTCCGTGATAGGCTCACGGCGCCGAACGTGTCTACGCGTTATACGCGTTTTAGAAAACGAGGATGGAATACTGAAGAGCGGTACTACGACCGCGAATGCCGAAATCAAGTATATACAAGTGATGCCAATGCTGCCATATAGGATTACTTCGATTTTTTGTTTAATATTTGGATTATGGATTATTTCGACAAGAATTATGCCGAGGGAAATGCGTTTCTAGTGATTGTAGAGAGGCCCAACGCACTCAAGAGGAATTTACTCCAACGCGTCCCTTATAGCGAAACACAGGTAAATGGTAAAAAAATCTCAATCGTTTGAATGTCAACGAGACACAGGTAAATGGTAAGGAAAATCACAATCGTCTAAGTGTCGCTTCAAGCACGTCCAGATCAAGAAAAGCTTCAAGGTCCAAAGCTAGGAGCCAAGCCTATGTATTTCTTGAACATAGGGAGTTCACGCTAACTGATTCCACCGTCACTAAAAGGTGTGACAAAGTTTGGAAAAAATCGCGTAATGCTTCCCTCAAAATAGGCCTGAAATCTAAGGATAAGTTATCAATGTAAAAAAAACGTGGCGACTTGACTTTTTGCGTAAAAGACGTTTGTGTCGGCTTAACTCCTGTATCCTAGACCTTGCAACTCAGGCAATTTAGGAAATACTTCAAAGGTTCAAATTCCATTGAGAAGCTTCAAGAAAAACGAAACCAGAAGTTTCTTAGACTATATTGGAAAACCGCTACAACGACTAAAAAAATGACGCGTATATTAAACACTTTGAAAATGATAACGAAAGATTCGAATGATTAATGCGCGTCTAATTTGCATAGATCCAAATTTTTAAGACACCCGGTAGTATATTCTAGGAAGGTGGAACACAAATTCCCCAGTCAACACTGCAAGGTAATAACGTCATAATTAAAACAGGCCAGTCGCCATGAAACTGTGCAACGTAACATTTCACTGCACGCAGGAATTCGTGTATCTGTGAACACACCGCCCCATTTTACTATTATACTAAGAGAAACGCAACATTACTTAACAGTAGTTGTTACACACACGGAAAGGTCAACGCCTTGCACAAGCTCCATGACGGTTAGGTAAGCTCGTAGGTGCGTATCTGGAAATCGTGCTTGAGCTTCCGAAGTGGCCGGGACCCCGGCAACGAAACAGGCAAGGAATCGGACGACGAAAGGATGATTGCTTACGACACTCGCAACGACTTTGTCAATAAGGCTCAGCTCGCGTTTCTGGCCACCCTCGTCGCCTTGCAGAACTGGAGCGATACTCACCTTGATTGCACATTGAACTTCATCACGATACTTCTGTAACAAAGTGGCTGACTAAAGTAAGCAACGTAAACATGGTAAAGTGCCATATTTGTCTTAGCCTTTCTAATGCTCACCTTACATGCATACATGTGTGTGTAGGTGTATATATATACATTTCTTGTTTTCTTTTTTTCTTTTTGTTTTTATTGTTCAAAACAGAAAGCGCCATGTTTCGACAGTTTAGAGTAGTTAGAACGGACCAATCTAAACAAGAGTACACGATCGCCTAACAAGCAAAGTTTGAGCCTCCTTGGAAAGGTGAACATCAAGAATCCAACTTCCTGAGAAATTATTAAAGAGAGATGTATCTCAAAAAAACAAAATGGAAAACACATACACACAAAAACAAAATGGAAAAATACGCGCGCACACACACACACACACAAACAAAATGGAAAAACACACACACACACAAAAACAAAAAGGAAAAAACACACACATACGAAGAAGGGGGTGGGAAAAACGAAAAAAAAAACAAGGGGAAAAATGAAAAAAAAACAAGGGGAAAAACACAAGGGGAAAAACGAGAAAAAACAAGGGGAAATACGAAAAAAAAAATATTAAAGCTAGGTATTTATATTACCGGTAGTTGAGTGCGGGGTATGTGTAACTAGGATTGAGAATTCGTGTCTAATAGTCAGTTGTATAGTAATTGATAGTTAGACATTCATATGGGCTCCGGGTTGAGTGCGAACGATGAGCGCCTGAGTATTTAGGGTAAACAAATAAAATATGTAAGGTATATATTAACTGATTCGGAAAAAAAGGGCACAAAAGTATATCCCTGTGCGGTTGAGAACTATCCCGAGTGGTATAGGCGTTCGTGCATCCTTTATCGAATATGTGTACATAATGTTTCTGTTTCCTTTAATTTTGGAAATGATGACCAAAGCAATGAGTCAAAATAGACGAAGTGGGTTAGACATGAACATATATAAATTAATGTTGTAAAAGACAGAGTCGAACAAAGTGTAAAAGCTGCCAGTGTGTATACTACTGTATCTCAAAAAGAAAACAAAACAAAGTGTTTATTTTTTGCTGTAGATGAGAATCAATAAAGCCATTCTTTGTGTTGGCAAATACATTTGAGCTATACTATTTTTAACGCGTGAGCAGAGACTTATCTGTAATACTACTAATCTAGAGTTTTTTCTATTTATATGTAAGGCAAACTTGTGTGGCAGTTCGAGGCATTATTATCGATCTTCACAAACAAAAACAAAACGAAGAGTTTTCACCCTACCCAGCTGACTTCAGCATGTGTATGGTGTTCCAAAACAAAAGATAAGGTAATACATTCAGTAGATTCTTTTTCAGGCACCAGATATTTTTTATGTGCCAAAATGAAATTCAGTAGACTTTTGATTTAAGCTTGCAAAATATTTTGAAAGAGACTACTGAGTTGGGGCACTGGTTCCAAAAAAGTAAGATTTCGACGAATGGAAGTTTTATCCAGGGGCTAGTGTAGGACGAATTCCTAGCGAACCTGTGCTATCCAGAAATGGGCAGAAATCGAGATGAATATCCACTTTATTTAGGAGAAGCATTGTTTCTCTTTTTATCTATTAAATACGCAAATATACCTTCCTCGTTTCTCGCAGTTCTTTGACCCCGCCGTTTGCCCGAGTTTCTAAAATTTTTTTCCATTTATTTTCATGCACTTTTTTAATATAACCAGGAGAGCTCTCATCACTTGTATAGCTTAACGAGCTTTGTCTGAAAATGTTTTTGCTGTCGCCTGCTAGCAGTACGTTACCCAACAGTTCTAAGCCACTTGTAAGCTAATTGTATAATTAGCGTCGTTATTCATCATAAAAAGTGTTTTCATTTATCTTCTTGTAAAAACGAACGTGTGACTCCCGTTATTTCTAATCAGTACCAAATTTGCCCAAATTATCAAAATTCCAGTTGACTAGATATGAAATAAGATCATAGCATTTTAGCATTAAATTACAAAACTCTTATTTATATTCACAATTAGCGGCAATATCATTTAGTTCATTCATTGCTCGATAAATTTCAGTAAGTTTCTATTTTTATGTCCGTATACATAGAGTCCCGATGAAATATTAAGGTACTATAGCACCTTATTCGTGTCGCGTAACGGTAAAGTAATATTGCTCAGCTCTAGTAGCAGTAATATACACTGATGCGCCATATCATTTTATTTCTACATAAAAATCACGCAATATTTACAGACAGTGTAGTATGTTGTCACTTGTGCTTCCTCTAAGTCTTGAAACTTGGCTTTAATGTCGTTTAAGAATGTCTGATATAACATAAATGCCCTGCTAATATAAAAATACATTTGCTATCACGATAGAGTATCTGAATCCATCAGTTTAAGGGGTAAAGTTCACAATTTCGACCAAGGTCGTTTATCCGGTAACAGCTCACATGCAAAAGCTCCGTAAGCAATATATCCGTTATATAATACATTATCTACATTTAGCCGCAAGAAGCCAGAGGAGAAACCAGAGACATCCCGGCAGATTGGCCAGTTTCCGTTTTACAGGTAAGCATGGTGGATTACGATGTCAATAGAAACAGCTGAAATCCAGATATTTAAGTGGCCTTCTCGTCACGGTGTTACAAAAGAAGCAGAAACATCGTAAACGATGACACCATCAAAAGATGTGCTGTACAATGGTATTAGGGTTTTTTTTACGAAAAAGATCTGTAGATGATAATGGATTATAAAAAAAAAAGTTAGGCAGTCGTGAATTAAATGTATGATACAATTTTTAAACAGATTCAGAAACTAGCGGTCATCTATGATCACCTGAGACCCTTGCTGTTTCTCGGCCACAATTACTTCGTTTATTGGATTTGACTTCTTTAAATGATTACTGGTATTATTTCCGGTTGGGCTTTTTCCTTCCGATTCAGTGGTAGTCGGACAGCTGTTCTTACTGGCATCACTTCTGTCGGCACCATTATTATTGTTGTTGTTGTTGTTGTTGTTCGTACAGTTGTTGTTGTTGTTATTTTGACTGCCTCGGTTCTCGTTGTTTGTATTAGCATCCTCAAGACCGACACGGGAGGCCGGTAGAAGCTTCTCTTTCCAATAATCACTCTTTCTGCGTAGCTTTTCCACCGCATTTTCCGCCGCCGCTATCGCTTGAGCATGCGACACTACAAGAACATGTCCAAAAAAATTAGAAGCCCAGTGAGCTATACCGTTATTAATCATAATATCATGGTAGTTTGAGCAGATCTAGGAGTCGTAGAGCTGTTCAGTGAGCTCTATTTTGGAAAGCGATAAAAGACGTTGCTGATTTGACTAATATGGCACTTGACATTTTTACCACCATATATATATATTTATATAAGAGCACAGCATGAGTTTCATAAAGAAATTTACTCTCTCAGCATATCCTAAAACGCGACTTACTTGTCTACGAAGACTGTCGAAAATCATTGTTTTTATTTAGCTAGAAAGTCTCTCACATTTTTGAGAATAGAACCAGAGCAAAAAAAACCCTTTACTCATAAGAGGGTAAAAACTTGTATATATACTGGCAAAACTTCGAATCCAATTAT